AAAAAAAAAAAAAAGAGGAGAGGAAACTAGCTCACCACTTTTCTTTGAAGAGGAGCCGCCAGTTTCTGAGATGGGCAACAGCTCTAGTATACTTGGGCAGAAAGAACTCCCAAATCTTTACAAGGGCAAGCTTTGACAGCCTTCAATTTCCACTCCTGGTCCCGGGAAAGCACAGGTATATCTGCATGGAAAAAGTGAGCACACATGCATAAAAAAAAAAAGGAAAAAGAAGAAGTGTGCAGCATACTGGGTTTTTTAGCAGCATCCCAATGTGTTGGCACCAAAGCTCTGTCGGCTTTCGAAGCCCATTCTCCACCAATAAAGAAGAAACAAGATTTTCAGCCACCGCAATTAGAGCGCGTTCCTGTAAGCACTATACCACTCCGTACGGTAAAATAGTACCATCCCCTATTTGGTGTAGGGGTTTCGCTCAAATTATATGCTGCATGAAACTTCATAGGGAAAACATCCTCGTGGTGCACCTTTCTCCATAATGCAAGAAAACCGAGCAGGACTCTCCAACCGTTGGGCGCTAGTCGCCCCGGAGTCAAGAAAAAGTAATGCAAAACACGACAAATGGGGGAGGACATGGGAAATTTTAACCCAACCTTAAGCATCTCCTCGTAGACAACAATATCCCCGAAAGAGTCATCGCAAGCAAGCTCTCCCAACTCAGCCCGACGGCACAACACGGTCAGAGGGATGCGATAAGTAAAAACAAGCCTTGAAATATCTTCATCTAAGCGGAACAAACTAGAAAGGGTGCTCACCTTAGACCCGTCATCATCAAGTACCACTTTGCTATTTGCGTTTCTTCTTCCGGGGCCTTAAGGAGTAGTCCAAATCACCATTGGGAGAGTCTTGAGGAACTTGAATCGGGAGAGCTACAATAGGGGCTTGATCATCAAGAGCAGCACCCAAAGCTTCCTTACTACTTGCAATGTCTAGCCCAACGCCTGGAAGTGTGCCTGACTGCTATTGCTCGTCAAAACAAAGCTACCTAGTAGCTTGAAGGGTGTCTGACCCTTCAAAATTGCGCAAAGCAGAATTTTCGGCGTAAAAATCTGCACCTAAGGGGCCCAAATCAGTGCCTTGAGTGGGAATCGGATCAGCCCGTGCTCCCAGGCCACTGCCTATCTCTCCCTGATGAACCTTGGACTGATTTTCAGCGCCCCTTGATGGAAAAATACTGCTGCCCAACGTTCCAAAGCCACCCAGCGCAACAGAACTGAAGCTGTCTAGCGCAGCTGAGCTGTCCGGGACACAGCAGAAGCAGCAGCCAGGCTGCTGCCCAGCGCACCTGGGCTGTCCAGGACAGCAAGGCCAGCGCCCAGGCAGCTGCCCAGCGCGCCTAGGCTGTCCAGGAAAGGAGGAGCAGAGCCCAGGCAGCCGCCCAGCCCCCCATCGTGCGCGCCCCTGCTCTGCGCAACTGCGCGCCCAGCCGTTTCCCTTCGCTGCCCATGCCACTCCTCGCATTGCCCATCTCCCCTTCGCTGTCTAGCCCTTCATTTACAGCCCTAAAGTTGTCCAAGACAGCATTCGAATGCTCAAAACCAGCCTCCAAGTTCTCCAAAATGATGCCTACTTCCTCCCTTTTTTCAACCTCCACCACTCCCTCTTCAATCGATATTGTTTACTTGAGAAGCTCAACTAGCAAGGAAGAAATCACACTCTTGAAAGGATTCAAGGAGAACACACTTTGGCTTCAACAAAATGGGTAGGACTTGAGTTCTCAAGGTTTTCAAGAGGTGGGTGCTCAACCTTAAAAATGAGTTAAATGGGTAACATGAAGAAAAGACTATATTTATAGTCTAGGATTTTTCAAAAAGAGGAAAAAAAACCCAAATAGAAAATTATGGGCCCTTTTCAAAGTAAAGTGGTCAAATAGAAAGTTATGGGTCATTTTCAAAATAAAAAGGTCAAATAAAATATTATGGGCCCTCTTCAAAATAAAGTGGGAAAGACTTGAAGTTTAAAATAATAATAATAATAATAATAATAATAATATAGTCAATGCCTCCTTCTCGAAGTCTCATTGGACATGGAGCATTGGGGGACAAATGATGGGTTAAGCCTAATAGTCCAATTTATGTGTTAAAGTCCAACTCCAGTTGAGGAGCCCAACCTTATTTTGAATCCACCAAGCTCAGGACAGACCGACGACCGGAGACCACTGCTTTTTTGATTCTCCATTCTCTCAAAGCTTGTATCTCTATTCTCCGTACTTTTGAATTAATAAAATACTCGGCAACTGAAGCCATTGAAGAATGGACGTAGGTCGAATTGACCGAACCACTATAAATTGTGTCTTTTTTAATTTTTTCATTGATTTCACTGTATTTATTACATAGACTTGACAAGTGGTGTGCAAAACCATTTTTGTGCATCATCAATTATTGCCACTGATAGTAAATATAGTTAGTGACAATTTGAATGTTGTCGCAAAAAAAAATATCACTAATTTACCACTAATTTCAAATATTTAGTGACAATAATTTAAATTTTTAGTGTTAAAAAATAATTATTGTCACTATATATAATATAATAAATTTAACGAATGACAGTTTTATTGTCATGGCTAAAAGCTAATTATTTTTCATTAATTCTTGATGAAAAAATAATTTAGTGTCAACAATTTTTTTTATCACTAATTATTTTTAGTCACTACACTTTTTTTACAGCGGCTGATTCTCAACACTCCCATGTTTTTTTTTGCCTGAAACCTTATATCTCAGTTCACATATACTCTCCCTCTCCCTCTCTCTCTCTCTCTCTCTCTCTCTCAATCTTTCTTTCTCTCACACACTGGCCCTCCTCTCTTTCTCTCTCTCTCTCTCTCTCTCTCTCTCTCTCTATCTCTCGCGACCTCTCAACCTCTATCTCACACACGAGCTCAGTGATCAGCTAGGGCACAAAGCAGAGCAGTGATCGGCTAGGGCCTTATCTCTCTCAACCACTTGGTGATTGAAGAGCAGATCTGCAGAAGACGAACCTATTCAGTAATGGAGTTTTACGAATTGCCTTAGTAAGCTTCTCTATCTACTCTCTGTTTTGCTTCTCTGTTCTCTATCGAGCATTGATTTTGTTTTTTGTGTTTGTTTTTCTGCAACTAGATTCCTTTACCATTTGTCTAATTGTTTTCGGTAAATTAGCTAAACAGATGACTCTTTTGATGAAATCAATTGATGCCTTTGTTTATTTATTGTTCCAATCTGTTGTTTTCAGTTTGATTTCTAGTTTATCGGCAGAAAGTTTATTACTAACTAGATTTTGTATTTTTAGGAGAATAAACATTCAGAGTGCTAACATATGAAGCTTTTTTATTTTAATGGAAAAGTTATTATATGTTGTGATGGAACTGTGATGCTGCATATGTATTAGCAACTGTGATTCATTTGCCGGTCACACACACGCGATTTGCATATATTGTCTATCTAGGGAATATCAACTTGCGCTCCTCTCTTTTTCTCCTCATTCCATTGTCTCTCTAAACCTAAGCGACTGATGGAAATAAAGAGGAATTTGGTATTTCTCTCTCTTCTAGTATCTCCTCTCTCTTCTGCTACGCTTCGCATACCGTCGGATGCGAAGTTTCCGTCGACTCAGGCAGCGAAGCACAGTTGATGTGACAATAACAAAAACTAAAGATTTAGTGACTTCAAGTGACATTGTCTTCATCAAACCCAATCTCTTTACTGTCCTAAACACAAGGCCAGCAAGTTCCTGAATGATCTGAATTACACACACATTGGAGAATGGATGCTTATGCGTTATGGGAAATCCTCGGATATAATGAAGTGTTCTAAAAGTTACCTTTCCCCTATTGGTTTTGGATAGGCACTATCCAATTGTAAAAAATCCTATTCCACCCCATGGGTTTACAACTTCAGCCAAGAATGTATCCTCGATCGATCATAATTTCAAAGCCCAAACAAAATTTTCCATATAACATGGACTACAAGCAATACTTTTACAAGCTACTAATTTAATGAAAGCTTTTGATTCCGACACTATTGAGAATCTGAGCTGTGGCTACACTTACCCTTTCTGCAACAGGACCCCACAAGTGGCACATCCCCAAGTTAGAAGTTTTGGCAACAATTCCTTCAGGTAATGACTCACTACCTAAAGGCCTGCATCAATTCTAAGAGGGAAAAAATAATAAGTTTTAAAAGCATAGGGAAATTAAAAAAGTACCAAAAGAACCATGTGCCATGGTGGCAAAGAGTTGTCTATGAAAGAGGCAAACCTTGCATATATGAGATTGTGTATTCTGCCTTGTATCATTTATTTCCATTTCAAATTTTGGCCAAACCTACACAAGCAGTTTTCATTTGATATTTATTAGTTGGATGTTAACACAGAAATAGTTGATGTCAGGTGAATCAAAGCTCAATTACACACTTCTTGTCCTTCTGTCACTAAAGCTCAATTTATATCAGAAACAGAGCCCAAAGACACAGCCACATTGTTTGTCTCAGAATTCCTAGTTAATTTGGAATAATCCTCAAAGATGGAAGACAACAAACACCAGGATACAAGTCCTTTTTATACCTCTAAATCTCTAGGCAATTGATGAGCTTAATGCACAGTTGTACCAGATTAATCAGCCTCTTTCCCTGGATACTTTGATCAGCTTAATGCATTGAATACCTTTGATGTGATGCTTAATTTGTTATTAATCGAGTTCCAACTTGATTAATTCTCACTTGTTTGCTAGTTAAACCAGATCACGACACATGTACAATAGGATCTGAAGAGGAGGAGGAGGAGAGAGAGAAGGGGGGGCGTTGGATAAGACTTGTCTTCCATGAAGCTTTGTCTTGAACCTTTGAACCCTAGAAGTTAGGAACCTTAGAACACTAGAAATTGATTTTTTTGCTGCTTTAAACACTTTCCTTGTTTATATGTTCTACCAATTCACAGAGTCCTTCAAAGGCCTAGTTTGATTAACTTATATTTTTGGTTATGTAGTGTGCATACAATATTTTCTTACTCTTTGATCTACAGTCTGACAGCTGTTACTTCACTTCTTGAGAAGTATGGGATTGACCCGAAACAAATTGGTCGGCCTGAAGTGGGAAGTGAGACTGTTATAGACAAGAGCAAATCCATTAAGACATTCCTCATGCAAATTTTTGAGGTATCTACCAATTGAAACTGGTGCCTTTACATTTGAAATTATCTCGTCTTCTATTGGTGGTTGGTGCTATGACCATGTGGTAGTCCCTTGGAACTCGTTATATTGAAATATCAGATCGAGGCATGGAGCAATCATTATTAAGTTGTACATTTAGGTTCCAGTCACTCAACTGAATCTTGATCCACATATTTGGTTCCTTGATTAGATTCCAAATAACCTTTCGTCGACGCCCTGTTACTATGAGATTCAGAGTATTTTAGTTTTGTTATATTTATGGTTGGATGGCCTGTATATTTTCCCTGCACACTTCAATTTGCTGCAGTTTGTATTTTTTTATTAATCTTCTGTCTCACAAAATTGTCCTACTCTTTTGCCATGTTAAACAACCAGGGATGTGGAAATACTGATATTGAAGGTGTTGACTCAACCACTGCATGCTATGGGGGAACTGCAACATTGTTCAACTGTGTCAACTGGGTGGAGAGTAGTTCATGGGATGGACGCTATGGCTTGTTGTATGCAGAGACAGTGTGGTATTTATGTTCTATTTTCAATTTTCAGTTATGTCCTATTTTAACAGGTCTATGCTGAGGGACTTGCTCGGCCAACTGGAGGAGCTGCAGCTATTGCTATGTTAATAGGGCCTGATGCTCCTATTGCATTTGAAAGCAAATTCAGGGAAGTCATATGTCACATGCTTATGATTTTTACAAGCCCAACCTTGCTAGTGAATATCCGGTACTTGATTCAAATCCCATGTACTTTTGTATTGTCTCTTTTTTGATTATTGGTTATATTTTTCTTGGGTTATCTTTACATTTCAGTGACATCTCTTGAGCTGGTATAATATCTTATACTAGTTTTGTAATCTTAATATATATTTGAATCATCTCCAATATGTATTCTCTTGATTTTCTTCAATGAATTTCTATTAATGTTGGGTAATTTATGTTAGCTACAAACCAGTGGAAGCTCTGAAAACAGCTTTGGAAGTCTCACCTCCGAAGACTAAAGACCAGGCCAGGAAGCTGCAACAGCTAGATCAGGAGGGTACCAAATTTTTAAGGAAGAACCTTTTCATGTCTCTGGACAGGGGGATTGAAGACTGTACAGATTGATTTGTATTTTTTGGAGTAATTAAATCCTTGAATTTTAGGCTTTTCATTGTTTCGATTCTTGTAAAATCTGCTTCTTGTAATATTTGATTTCAATAAAAAAAAAAAAGAAGAAGGTACGTGAAATTCGAAAATATTGAAAAATAAATTCTTTCAAATATGTGATAGGTTTCTTGTTCATTTTAATGTATTAATTAATAATGACAATAAGTTGTCAAAAAATCATGTTTCAAATTTTAGTGGTGATTTTAATTATGGGTAAAATGTATATTTTTAGTCGCAATTAATTGTTGTCACTAAAAGTCAGGTTTTAATCGGACTTTTAGTGGTGATATAGTATATTTTAGTGGCAAAATTTAGTTTACTTGCTATAATAATTATGACGGCTAAAAATTTTACATTTAGTGATATTTTTTATGGTGCAGCTAAAAAATTTATTTTTAGTGGCAACAATTAAGTGTCATAACTAAATGATTTAGTCACACACATATTGCCGCGACCTAGTGGCAGAAAAATATTGTCACTAAAGTATATAGTGACAATTTTATGCATTTAGTTCCAATAATTTTCGCGGGTGGAATAATCAAGTTTTTTTATAAATAACTTCAAAAGGTGCCATGTGTTTCAAAACTGGAGTCGGTAATCTGTTTTTTATGTAAGTAGAACTTTAGAAGGTATCTTTCCAAGAATATTTGAGGGGAATTGGAATGAGAGAGTAGTGCAAGTCTCATTTCAACTGCTTGTCAATGTTTTCTTTCTATAGCACCCATTTGTTGTGTATATGAGGACAAGCAACTCGATGATCAATTCCAATTTTTTGGAAATAATTATTTAGGTGTCTCCACTCTCCTCCCTAATCAGGTTGTATAGCTTTAATTTTCAAATAAAAATGATTCTCAACATATGATTGAAATTGGAGAAAAATGTACTCAACATCAGTTCTAAGCTTTGTTGGAAATAAACATACAAACTTGGTGCACCATGATTTGAAGAAGGAACATGATTTAACCTAAATGATAAAGCATGCCTTGTCTCCATTTGACAATCGGAGCACACAAAATGCTTATTATTTGCAACTGGAAAGGAAACAAACACAGTTCGCTTTATGACGTTCAGTGATGCATGCCCCAACCTGCAATGCCAATCATTATATATAATGGAAAAAGATCTGGGTTTAGTGTTTGTCAAGGAAGTTGAGAAACTGTAAAGGCCATCACTAAGATGCCCTCGATACAGGACGATCCCCACGTAGTCCTTCACAAGGAAGAAGGAATTGTGAAATTCAAAATACATATTGTTATCATGACAGGATTTATGGACAGAGATTAAATTTCTTTGAATGTTAGGAACGAGTAAGACTTGTGACAAGGCAAAAGATTTAGAAGGACATGAAAAAGTAGTAATTCCAGTTTTGGTGATTCGAAAACCTGCACCGTTTCCCACTTGGATCTAGTTAGTGTTGTCTTAATCTTAATTCCTTAGATTGAGGTTGTTGACATCATTGATTAAATGATGTGTTGCTCCAATGTCGGGATGCCAGTCATCTCCTCAATGATGTTGATTTGCAGCAATCAGCACTTGTGGTTGGCGAGGTTGATTGAGAGGATTCTGATACTGAAGATCAACGCAACGCAATGGAAACATCTGTGGGCTGAGTGTCTAGACTTCCCACACACCTGACAAATGACATAAGTGGAGGGTGAATTAACCGTGGCCTCCACCACTACCACCCCCATGATTACCACACTCCCAACCTCTATTGTTTACACGACCCCTACCAGAGTTTTGGTTGTTTTGCTGGTTCTGATATTGTTGCATAGGATGATTCTACTGAGTAGCAACATTTTGCTGGGGCAGAGAGTTGAAGCGGCTAGTTATGGTGTTGAAGGTGTGACTCATTGGTAAGCAAGAGTGAGTAAACTTCCTCCGATGTAACAGGACCAACACGAGTAGTGATGGATGCTACAAGAAAATCATGAAGAAGATATGTGATGATCTTCATCACAAGTGAGGGCTTGACCTGCAATTGCAAGCTCATTTGTCATTCTTTTGATGGACAGAAAGAATCAGTAGCAGAAAAGGATTCATTGAGAATAATTCCAACTTGAGTGCGAATCTGCACTATTCTATCACAAGATTGGGAGGAAAAATTGCATTCTAGGGCACACCCAAACAACATTTAAAGTAGTTTAGGTCTTAACCTGAGCTATAACAGTTTCAGTTATGGTGGCCAGGAGTGTGGTGAGGATTAGAGAATCTTTCTTGATCCAATCAACATACCCAGGATTAGAAACCTGAGTTACAGATCCTATTATAGGATGAGAAGTATCAACAGCTGAAGGGGATTGCTTGACTGTTCCATCGAGATAGCCATAAACACCTTGACCGCGAAAGTAGGGGAAAACCAGTGCTTTCCAAACGGGGTAATTCTCATGACTGAGTTTAACAATGATTGGGTTAGGCATAGTGCCAAAGGTGGGTAGTAGGGAATGTGGTATTATCAGTGGTAGATGAGGAAGCCGGAGAAGACATTTTTTTTGTTGATGTTTTTCTTGTGGCTCGTTGATACCATGAAGAAGCTCAAGGCAAATTTTTTATTATGAATTTTAAGTATATCAGTACACAAATTTATAGAGGTTCAATTTAACTAAAAATCCTATTTGTTAGTTGAATTGAAATAATACAAAGTATTTGAATGAGTCAGAGTGTTTACAACTAAATAACTATATGCATGAAACATGTACTTTAAAGATCATATCTTCTCCTTATCCTCAACAAGAGAAGTGGACTCCTATTTGACTTTAGGTTGCATTTGGTGTACATTCTCAAAGTAAAAGTCCATCCATAAGATGGACATTTTAAAATAGACTTTTTAATTTACCTTACTATTTCGTAAAAGTGTGTTTTATTATTATTTTTGAACCAATGTATATCTACAACTAGTTAGTCATGTCTATTTACAACTAGTGTTCTAATACGATATATCTTTTTTAACTTTTCAACTTATAATCTCAGATGAGTAAATTATGTATGAAGGCTAAAACAAATATTTAATTGCAAAAGTTATAAATCTTCTACAATAAGTCACATTATGAAAAGAGGACAATGAAAAATCAAGGTCGTTGTTATGCCTCAATAATTTTAAAATAAATAATATAATTGTGAGACTCTTATATTTTGTGAGCAAATATAATAGTATTTAAAGTCTTTGAGCGACTAATTCAAGTTAACTCCCTATAAATTATGACAAAACAAGCTCTAAGTTGTTCTCCTAACAAATCATAGCTAAACTTTTGTTTTTTTTTTAAATATATACATGTATATTAAACATCAATGACTTGTTTGGTAGACGTATTATGAAGGGATTAAATATTAGATTGAACTATTTTTTGTTTAATCGGGCCTAATACTTTGTTTGGTAAGCAAATTTGTTACCATATTAATTTCAAAAACGTATATTAATCATACATTTATCGTATATTTTTTTATACCATAGCTCTATATTATGGAGGTTTTTTAATACCACAAAGAGATGTGATATTATAATCCAACTCAAACGTATTATTCTATACATTTACTATTATAACCCCTTAACTGATAAAATCAAGTTGTCATCAATGTAACAAAAACCACATCAAAGGTTATTTTTCCAAGTTGCTCCAATCTTAACAAATAAACCTACAAATACATACCACAAAGTCACGAACAATCAGAAATAAAAATATTATAATACAAAATAGTTCATGTGCATCAACGAGTAAATAAGAGTGTTTAAATTTTTGATTACTCGCAATCTCTTACTCTACCCGACCCTATTGATCGGCTAACCAAAAAAATCGGATAGGAATACGAAAGATTTTTTGGTCTTCCGATTAAATCGAGTAGGAATGTGAACCCATCAAATTTTCGTATTCCTACCTTACCTTACGATACCGGCATATATATTTATATACACTAGCAATATATTACGTGTGTTGCACGTGAATAATTTTTATACATAAAAATTAATAAAACATATTAGATATATGTATATCTGAATTAAATATCATCTTAAATTTACCAAATTTAATATTTCATTGCTCATATTCTATTATAAGATTATGAAAACTTTATATATTCACAAAATTTTTTGTTCTAACTATAAAATAAAAAAGTTAAAGTTCTATTATTTTTTAGAATTTTGTGATTGAAATTGATTTTTAGTGATATTTCATAAATTAAATTTTTTTGAAAATTATTTGATTAGGATTCCACTTATAATTTTTTGAATAAAATAAAAGTAATTGACAATATACTAATCATATTGGAACCTTACAACAATTAGAAATTAGTTAGGTTAATTGGAATAAGATTTAATATATTACTCTATAATTTATATTATCAAGTATATTAAATTTTTTAAAAAATAAAGTTTTACTAATAAATACACTACAATATCTATTTTTACATAAAATTTTAGTACAACTTAGAAAGTGTAATGTGACTGAAGAATTATACTGATTTAACATAATATGATTTTAAAAAGCTACATATACGATTATTTTTAATCTTAAAAATGAAAGAGTTAAACTTTTTAATGAAAAAGAAAATATACATATATAGACATAAAGTTATTTTTGCATATGAGATGAGTAATATTAGATTGATAAAGTCTTTGAAGGTTCTTTGAACATTTTATTGAAAATATAATGATGCACATTTTTTAAGGGTAATATAGTCAAT